TTATGACTCCGGCAGACTTGATGAGAGCAGTTGTTCCTGTATTTCCTCCCTCTGAATCAACCCGTGTCAGAGAGGGCTCTTTGAGAGGGGAGAAGGTTCCTGGCCAGTTGCAATGTGCTCCTTCCAAATTCTTTATGCTTTTCGACACGGACGGTGACGGCCTCATTTCTTTTCCCGAGTGAGTAGTGCGCTAATACACTCAATTACTATAATTGAAACTTCTTGTTATGATCTAAAAACATCATACTCGTTTCATTCTTAATGTGATCAGGTTCATCTTCTTCGTCACCCTCCTCAGCATCCCCGAGGCAAGCTTTACGGTGGCATTTAAAATGTTTGATCTTGACAACAGTGGGTGGGTTTACATTCTTTATCGTCTTCTCTGGTCAAGTTATAAGTAAAAATCTTTTCATGTGTAGCTGATTCTGATAGAAAGCTAACTTGTTACGGGTATTATTAACAGAGACATTGATAGGGGTGAGTTTAATAAAGTCATGGCTTTGATGAGATCTCAAAGCAAACAAAACAAGGATGGCCACAGGCTCAAAGTTTCTGTAGAAGACGGAGGCCTACTTGAGCACTTCTTTGGCAAAGATGGCAAAAGAAGTCTCAAACATGAAACATTTGTTAAGTTTTTCAGGGATTTACACGATGAAGTATGTGGTCTTTTGTTTTGTTTTGTGTTTTTTTTTATAAAGGGCCTTGGCATTTTATCATACTTCATTTTTTTTCTCTGACAGTCAGCTGATCTTTTCATGTTTGTTTTTCTTCTATTTATTTCTGAATTTGAAAGATATTGCGCTTGGAGTTTTCTCATTACGACTACAAAGAACAAAGAACCATATCAGCTAAAGATTTCGCATTGTCCTTGGTTGCATCAGCTGATATCAGTGATACAAACAAGTTGCTCGATCGGGTTGATGAATTGGACAACGATCCACGTTTCAAAGACATAAAAATCACATATAAGGAATTTAAAGATTTCGCAGAGCTTCGAAAGAATTTGCAGTCCTTCTCTCTTGCCATTTTCAGTTACGGAGAAGTGAATGGGGTGTTGACGAAAAAAGATCTCCAGAGGGCCGCTTCCCAAGTACATAACATACACACCTCTTATTTCTAGGTAGCTTCTTTGATCTATTATTATTACGATGATGATTAACTTCTACTTACACAGGTATGCGGCATTTCTGTTCCTAACAATGTGATTGACATAATATTCCATGTGTTTGATGCAAATGGCGATGGTGATTTGAGTGCAAATGAGTTCGTAAGAGTTTTACAACGACGGGGAGGTGAAGTCTCACAGACAGGCTTCAGGGGACTTCTATCTTGCTGGTTAAACTGTGCCACTAAAGCCTTCGGTCAGCAAAGCTGCACCTTTAGTTTGTAAGATTATACCTGAATTACCCTTCAACTTACATAAGCAATGTAAATGCCTCTAATCTTGCGTTGGAGTTGAAAGGATGCTGTTAGAATCTGGCTGGTTTGTGATTGAGGGGATAACATATCACAGCAGACTGGTCATACCAAAATTATGTATCCCCATATTGACCATTACAACTTCAAAGTTCAAACTAATATAAGTGCACATCATCTTTGTTAATTTGTGTACAAATATTTTCTGTTAATAATATATATATATATATATATAGTAGTCTCATAGTATAGTTTTTAATAAACGTAACTCCATACACTAATGTTTTCCTAGTTGAGTTTTGTGGGTTCTGGCTGCGTGAATTTTCCAAGACAGAGTTGTGGTTGAGAGCTTGATTATGCAGATGCTTAACATACTTTAGATGCAAATTAGGATCAAGGCACCCAATCTGCCAAAGAAAGCACTCCTTCAATGACATTGCTTGGGGATGAACTTTTTAATAAGCATTAACAAGTTTGAGGAGGTCACCATAAGAGAGGCAATCCTTAATCCTATATGAATACATGTATTCAAACTTTGTTCTTATTTAGTAGACAGTAGAGTAGATTTCAACACAAAAAATGCTAATATGTATCCCAAAATTGTGCTGATTTTGCCCAACTAACAGGCATATCATCACAGATAATTAGCATTATCATAAACAAGATAACAATGTCACCAGCATAACATTGAAAGACATTTGATTGAATAAGCACATCCAGTGATGACATATGACACCACTACTACTACTACTACTGCTACTGCTACTTGAAGCCGTAACATTTATGGTCTTCGTTGTCTATTTACACACAAAACTTAGAAATGCATATCATATGCATGTCAATTTCATCCAGTGACGAAATTAGACATTACATACAAAAGCACATACATAAATGCGGTGGAAGCAGACCATACCAATCAAGAGTTAAGGCCCCAAGTCATCCAAAAATTCTCTCTGAGAATCTAATAAGCAGCACTGCTAATCTATCATAGCAAGTAAGAGCGACTACAAGCGCAATCAAAGAATTCATCTTCTCAGGCTTACCCGACTCAGGTGGGCGGCAAGTACATCCCTCATCCTCTCACCACTCTCATCCACCTGTCCATGGAAAACAGGAAGCTCCTCCTCCCTTAAGCTCTTGATATTGTCATCTGGCATGGGCTCGCTACACTTGATGAGAAAATTATGCAGCAGACACCCTGTAACAATAACGAATGGCAGAAACTCGACACACTCTTCCTTCCACTGCCTAGACAGAAGCTGCCACCGAGCCCGAACCCTCCCAAATGCGGTGTCAACCAACCCCATTGCGCGACTATGTACCGAATTAAACGCCTTCTCCAATGAACCAAAGCTATCCGCCTCATCCGACCTTATATAAGGTGTTAAAAGCCATGGTAAAAGAGGGAAGCAAGAGTCCCCCAATATGTATTGAGGAATGGCCTTGCCATTACCAAGCTCATAAACAGGACCATTCAGCAAGTCCCTAGATTCCTCTACACCCAAATAAAGTTTAGTCTGACGGAAAATGGATTCGAGTTTCATGGCGCTGGGCCATCCGGCCGAGACATCAAGGAACCTCCCCTCAGAGTCCACCAATGCCTGAACCAACAAAGACCCATTTGGCCCCAACACTTCACCACCAACCCCAAACCTCCCAAACCCCAAAACCCCACAACAATTCGGCAGCGAAATCCACCCGAAACCCCCCACAATCCGGGCTATATCAGACCGGAACTCGAACAAGTTACCTAATTTATCGCTCACCGCCTTACAGACGGCGAAAAAGGCTCGGCAGGCCTCCACCGAGTCGAGCCCGAAGCGCCTTCCCACCGCCTTGTAGCTCGCGCCGTGGGCTAAACGGTAAATTGCAGCAGCGAGAACGAAATTGGGTGGAATTGAAGGGATTGTGGAGTTGAGAAATGGGGAGAGGAGAGAGAGGAGGATGGAGAAGGAGTGTTCGGACATGCGGAAGGTGTGGGACCACCGTGAGTCGAAGTTTCTGCTGGCGGAGGTGGCGGAGAGGAAGCGGCTGAACCAGCATTCTAGTGGTGGTGGTGGCGGCCGTAGTGGTGGTTGCGGTGGTGGGTTCGGGAAGCAGAGAAGGGTGGAGAGTGAGGTGGAGGTGGAGGAGAGAAGGGTTTCTAGGGTTAGGGTTTGGGAGGGCAGAAGGAGAAGGTCGTTTTGGGAGAGGAAGGAGTGGGCCAGTGAGGTGGCGGTGGCTACGAGACTTACGAGGTGGTGTTGACTGAGGGGCTTCTTGTTGTGTCGTTTCTTGTTTTTGGCCTTGCCTTTGGTGGTGCTCTTAGCTGCTCTGCCGCCACCGCCGCCGGCAGCCATTTCTGGTGGACTATGAAGTTTGATTACTACGAGTGAGAGATGTTGACACGCAGAGTTTGGGAAGCATATAACTCTGTAAGTGCAGAGCAGATCACTACGATGTTTTTCTTTTCTTCTTTCCTCTTGGCCCTTCCTAAGGCAAGCATTTTGCCAACGGCCACTTGTTAGTGCTTATTGCTATTCTCCACCCCTGAGTATTATAATTCAGAAAAACTCCCATTTAAAACTGTGAATGAAAACTGAAAGCATATAATACACCAATATACCCTCTCCACCTGTCCATTTAAATACAAGAATTAGAGACCAACTTTTTCTCTTCCTTCTTCTTAATATTTCATTTTCCCCCTTCTAATATCTAATATTTGTAGCTTTATACAAAGTAAAGTCCCATCTTTATATAGAGATTTTCTATTTAAACCCCAAATTTCTCTTACTTCACCCCAATACTTAAATCATTAAACTGTAAGTTTTATTATTGTGTAAAAAGACAAAAAAGGCAATCCAACTTAATACTTAACCCCAGTACATCTATACACACACCCCATACACCCCACCACTCTTCAAATTAAGTTTTAGAAAGGTTGCGTGACGAGGTCTCAAATGTAAAGAAGAGAGCCCATGGTAACTTTCTGTCTGTCTATCATTTTGGTACTTTAGATGGCTTTTGTTCTGATACTTCTGATATTTAATTTAGCACCAAACGCACATGCTGGCGGTTACACAAATCCAGATTCTTATTACCCAGCTAACATGCAAGGTGCTGGTGTGTATTTTGATGGTTATGGAAGGCCCTATGTTTCAACCGGTGTTAGACCACCAGGAGAGGGAACAATACCATATGCCAGCAGCTGGTATTACTATCAGATGGTGCCACTGAATAGGACTCTACAGATCACTGTAAAATTTCCTCCTCTAAGTTATGGCGATGGTGAAGAATGTCCTCCTGATGATGAAGTTGTGATCCTAGGAAAGCAGACAATGAATAAGACTCTGAAATATCATCAAAAAATTAATTTAATTACTTACTATTTCTCATGCCCAGAACATAATTCCTCCTCTAAAGGTAGCTTGTGGGGTTTAAATAGAAAATCTCTTTTATTTCTTATTTTTTCAGCTTGAGGTGTATTTAAGGGTAGTTTGGGAAGATAGTGGGGTTTTTTTAGAAATTGTGAAAATTTAAATTAAACGTTGGGTGAACTTAGAACATGGGATGAACAAAGAGAAGTGTGAGGTTTTAAATAGAAAATTTCTTTATATACTGTCCGCTCCAACACGAAACCAAGGTGGAAAGTTTAAGCCTTGATGAACAAGAAAATTTCTATATTATATACCCCGTTTCCGTCTTCTTCGAAAGCCCCACATTGTCCTAAGCCCTCTCTGCGTTGCTTATGGCGAAGCTAAAGATTGCAGGGACATGGGCGGGTGTGCTGGAGGTTGAATTGGAGGATTGGACCGTACCCATGTTGAGAGAAGAGGTTGCAAAGCGATCAAACTGTGAGAGCAACTCAATCAATTTGATATGCGCAGGAAGAGTTTTGAAAGACGGCGATGGAAACGAGAAGTTGGCCCAATTGGGTATCAAGAACAACGCCAAGATTCTTGCTAGTCGGGTATGTGCTGAAGAGGGTAAGTCTTTGAAGGAGGAGTTGCTAGCTGAAGACGAACGCTCTCGCAGACTGGCTCGAGTCAAGTGAGTCTTTCACTTTATTTCTTTTTGGCTTTTGCAGTTCGTTTTAATTTCTCGATCATAGGTTTGTTCAGTTTTTATAAAAGCACAGACCTTTGACGAAGAATGTGCTTGTATTAGTTAATTTGATAATAGAATCCGTTCATCGTGAATCGGTTTTTATATATTTGTGGTTTTCTGTTTGGCTATTGGTTCTTCCGAACCATCTATTTCGTCTATTTTGTTTCGGATTGATGGAGCAAATTCTGTTTGAATTTAATTCGTCTTGTTATTTTTTATGCGAAAACTGAACTGAAATATCAGTGAACTTCTGAAGATTGTTTCCTTCTTGGTGTTTTCATCTTGTCTTTCTTTGGTATTTGAGGATTCTATCAAAAGGAAAATTTGAATCTCCGTTTTGTGAGTTTCTGGTGTTTGGTAGTCAAAAAGGTATAAATTTTATCCAAAATAAGCCTTCTTCTTCTTCTGCTTCTTCCTATCCAAGCTAATAAGTCCCTCGCAAATACCAGCAACTGTAACCATTATGCTTTCAGGTCATGCGCTTCCATATTTACCCAATTAAAGATTGGATGCACCAATATTATAGAGTTTGTAAACAGTGCCTTAACTGGGGATATATAGGCCGCTTTATTCTTGAGAATGCAGGTTTGGACCTAGTAAAATAGTGAATAGTTTTGAGATTTGATTGAGCTAGAGGTAGTTAAATACCTTCCAATAAGGAAGTTATTGACTTAGTGATCCTTTATCATCTGGCACTGATAATGGTCTTGGATTGTTATATCAGCGAGGCATAGCACATTTTGGCCTATTTTATTGATTTATTTATGTCTATGTTCCACTTTTAACTTGGTTATGTACCTATTACCTTAATAGGGCAGCTGCCACTGCATTGGCCAAGAGACATGCAGATGGTTCATTGCCGATTGAAGACTTCAATATAGTACTTGAAGATCAAAGTGGAAAGAAAGTACAGTTGGGATCTGAGACTGATCAGCGGTATGATAGATAATTAGGTTTCAAGATTTGATCCAAGCACTTACTTCCTTTTGTGAGAAGTTTAATGTACAGTCACATTTTAATTTTAAAGATTTGAACTGTTATTCGTCAGGGCAATCATGATGGGCCTGATGCTTCATACAAATGGAAAACAACTAATTAAAAGACAAAATTATAAAGATGCATTAGAAGTGCTTGCCATGGGAGAGGTCAGTTCCTAGTGCCTGTTGCAATTGATAATTTAATATATGATCTGTAACCTGGGGATAAAAGATATCTTTTGATTTGATGGCCTAATATCTCATGTTATATGGCTTATGCCATGGAATTGCTAGTTATATCAGTTTGGGACATGTTTCTGTAGTAAACAAATTATTATATATTGAAGTATGCAGCCAGAAAAGATTCTGTGACTAGGAGTGTTGCTTAATCCACGTGTGGTTATTTCATTATTGTAGGAGGCTTTCTCTCTTTCTGACCCGAAGGTTATAGAGGTGAGTCAGCCGTATTGAAGATTTATCATTATCACTTTGAGCCATATTGTTGTCAAGTTCCATGTGGCCTCCATGTAACTTTGACCATTAAAATATATCAAGATTCATTTCTCTTTCTTAGATATACTTCAATATCATTGTATAATATCCTTTTCTGTTTGACCGCATACTTGCTTTCAGCTTGTTGACAATCCTCCAATACTGCAAATCGATATGGTTTGGTGCTATTTCATGCTCCGAGACATCAGCTGTGTCTCAGTGGCAGGAGTTCGCCTTGAGAAAGCCAGAGAAGGAATTGAACGAGCTCATGGAAAGGACTCTTCTCGTGTCAGACTCCTTCAGGCAGGCCGCTTCCCAGAGCTTGCACTGTGAGTACTTTTACTGCTAGGCATGTTTGATCTGAATGTTCCTCGGAATGACTCAGGATAATTTTGGTCTAATCACTTTTTCGTTTTCTCATCATAGATATTTGAGACTGGAGCTGCTGGAAGGGGTGGTGGCGTATCACAGTGGTCAGTTTGAGAAATCAAGGAAGGTGCTAGCTTCTGCACAAGGAAAATTCACCCAGGTTAGTTGAATTACAAGGAAGGTGCCAAACATATTATGCACACAAGGATTAGCTTTGCCTGGCTAGGTTGTTTTGGAACTCTGTATGCATAAGTTGCACTGAAACTTTGCAGTCAATTATTTCTGAACTGCCACACCATGTTTGAAATTACATCTGCAAAGTGCTCGAATTCAAAAAAGAAAAGATATTATTTAAATATCCACAGAATTAAGTGTGGTATGCTGATATTCCTGATCTCTCACTTTTCTGGGTGATGCCAGTCGTTTTCAACAAGATCCAAGTAACCTACCATCTCTACATCTATGTTGCAACTGCACCTGAGTACATTTTTGCCTGTTGATACCAGCTACAGGTGCCAGATGAAGCCCTATCACTTGTTATGAGCATGGGGTTTAGAGAACGAGATGCAAAAAGGGCATTGCGGATTAGCAATCAAGATGTTTCTAGTGCTGTTGATTTTCTTGTTGAGCAGAAGGCTAAGAGAGCCCAAAAACGGGAAGAAGATATTTGGCGACGAGATGAAATTATGTGGGTACCTTTCTAAGATCGATTTTTCTTTGAGTTTCTGTCCGTACTGTTACTTAAACAAACAAATTGGCAGGGAGCAAAAGAAGTATGGGACAACGCCTTTGAAGAAAGCTGTGGATCTTCAGAAATTGAATCAATTGGTCTCCATTGGGTAAGCAAGCCAAGACAAGTTGTTCATCATTCTTTAATTTGAAGGGGGTGCTTGTTTCAAAATGATGGTTCAATGGCAGTCTGCCCAAGATAATTTATATCCATAAACATGAGCCCCTGTCATTGGTCATTCTAAGAGTTGCTTGACTTTGCAGGTTTGACAAGGAGCTTGCTGCTGAAGCGCTTAGAAGAAATGAGAATGACGCTGAGAAGGCATTGGATGATTTGACAAATCCAGAAACTAATTCCTCCATACAGGTCACCTGCGTATTTCTATATAATTATTATTTTAATTTAATTAGACATTTTCAACATTACTAACTTTGTCTGACCTGTAGGTATATATTGAGTCGAGGAAAAGGAAACGACAGAGCCAAGCAGTTAATACTTCAGTTGAAGCGCTTGTAGGCATGGGCTTCGAAAGATCAAGAGGTACTTGTCAAAGGCCTGTTAGCAGAACCCCATGTTTTTAGCATGTTTTACAGAGATTCCCTAGACACCCCGCTATCTCTCTGAGATACTGACTTTACCTGTTATTATTTAGAGCTAATATTGGCCAAATCACTCTCACAATTTCATTTTTATCGAAGTTTGTCCTTAACTGTTATCATCGTCAGAAAGTAATGTCCAATTCCTTACTATTCCACGAGGTTGAGAAGTAGCTAGGCTCTGATGTTAATCTTGGTATGCAGTGGTTGAAGCTTTTCAGGCTGCTGGGGGGACAATGGAGCAAGTATTGCATCAGTTGCTCTCAGAAAATGCAGGAAACCCCACAAATGCTGCTAGCAATAATATCCCGACTGATGCTGCTAATGACATTGCAAATTCTCTTGTTTCAATGCTGAATAATAACGTTGATCAAAATGGTGAAGTTGGAGGTCCTTCAACTGCTGGTGAAGGAGGAGAGCGTGATGCTGAGATGGAAGATGAACTTGCTGGAGAACTAGCGGAAGGAGATGCTTTATCGGACTATGACCTTGAAGTTACCAAAGAAGGTGAAGCCATAAACGAGTATTTGGCTCTGCTGGACTCGGCAGGCAAATAGTGAGAGAGCATCATCTTCCCAATGAGAAGAGCACAACTCTGATAATAAGCAAGGGAGATTCTATGTAAATTATATATAATGAATGGTATATATGAAAACAGTGTAGGCGTTAGACTTAGTTGTGGTGATGGCACTACAGTTACCATTGGCATTCCAGATTATTAATGCTGCTATATATCTGTCGTTTATCCCAACGACATCTAACACCGTTTTTTTCTTTTTCTTTTTCCCATTAATATCAATGGCATGTCGTTTGAGTAGCCCAATCGTCCTCAATGCAAATAGCTAGTTTTTATCTATCCATTTCTTAGAGTAAACTACGCATAATAATAAGAATTTGATTTCAGTTTTTAAATGTAAGATTGTACAAAATTGAAAGTTATCTTGAAATTGTAACCAAAAAAAATATTTTGAAATCGATTAAGTACCAAATTAGTATAACTAATAAAGCATTTTGTTGTGTTATGTCAATTCTAACTTGTTTTTTTGACAACTTTTTTCTTTGAGATGGCTTGCCAGCTGTGACATTAACATGTCCTTACGTTGTAAGTTCTTTTCCATCTCTGATGTCGGAAAGCTGCTTATTTGGGGTAAAAGTGAGTTTCAGAATCGGTTTGCTTTCTAGGGCAAAAGGCATGTGTAAGAATTTGAGAGGGCCAAATAATACACTGAACTTTAGGGTAAATAAATTTCAAGGCTTGTGGAATATATGTAATGTTTTTTATTTGGTCCCAACAGCTTCAACTTCTTCGAAATCCTGCAGAGTAAACGGAGAAGAAAAAAACATCCTTTCTCCTAAAGGGGCAACAACGTTATAGAGGAAATGGGAATATGTTTCTATCTTGTGAGAAACGCAAAAGAAATCAGAAGATACAAGAATACATTAGGTTGACTATCACTGGTATTCACAAAGATTCTGCGAATCAATACATTGTTACTCATCCGAAACATCATTAGATGGAGATTCACTGTCTGTGTCTGCGACCAAAACTATCTGCTTAATATTAGATTCTTCCTCTGCTTTGGTTTCCTTGTAATCCTTGGGAAGCACATTACAGTTAATGGCCTGCCATACTGGTCTCTCTGCTAGGAATGCTCTGTTGGGTCAAAGCTAATCATTAGAGCTACTAGTAACATAACACCACAAAAAAGATGCGCACAAAACATAACAGAGTGGTGGAGGGAAGGGGAGGGACGGAGACTCACGGGTGCTTGCAAAGTGTGGGGCACTGAATTGTAACTGCATACTTGCAAGTGGCTATCTCTGTAACTGAATTAATCAAAGCTCTGCCCTCTGAGCACACAAATCTCACCTGCAAATGCATACAACGTAAGGGCGGGAAGAAGAGATGCGAAAGGAAATTAAAAACTACATTATATATATAAATTAATAACTTAATACCTCCGTTGCCCGTTGTTGGTCTGTAAGATCACATGTAGTCCCATTTGTATATTGGTGAGCATGATACCTATATGAACCATGCAATTTGATGAACTGTACTCAATCTAACGCATTTTGATAAAGACAAAATCATACCTTTGGTATGCATCTTTTGACCGTGGATCTTTAAGTCTAGATATGTCAGAAAGATTCTGGTTGACAGCAGTAGTGGCCTCTGCATCATATATACCCAAAATAAATTCCTGAACCACCTGTAATAAGAGACGAAAATAGCCAATTACATGGTTAATATTATCGGGTTTCAATTGGTCTGAAAGTGTTCCAACAAGAAATGAGAATATCTAGAAAGACGACGATAATAATGCTAATGCAACTGGTTTTAATTCCTGAAAAATTGGAAAAGAAAACCAATGTAAGAAAATGACCGATGTCTGCACTACCTGCACCACAGCAACTACTACATATACCACTATAAGTCTATAACCACTACAAGGATGGAGGAACAAACACCTTGAACAGGCAGGATTACCCAACCAGGACCAACCCTAATACTTAAGTAGTTAATCACTTACGGGAATGCATCAAATACAGTGTGGTAACACTACATTAAAGCCCAAGACCATCTAGATAAATGTGGTACTTATTAACACACTTTGAGGCATATTAGTTCTCTTCCTCTCATTATATACAGTTATACTGCGGATAACATATTTCAAAAGAGGCATTAGAAATAAGAATTAACAATAGAAGTATATTATATTTTAAAGTGAGCATTTGAGAGGGGCATGGGAGAATACCTTCTCATCTTCCAAATGAATTTGCCGTAATCTCTTCTGATAGCAAAACTCATATGACCACCAACCCTCTTGCTGCATAAAGGAGTTGGTTATGTTAGCATAATGTACAGTAAATACATAATCACCTGGTTACTAATGTAGTTTTATAGGTTACACAACTATGAGCAACAGTAAAGGGAATTTGCTCATAGGCGCCCTCACCAGATTTGATCTAATTATAAAAACCAAAATAATAGACGTGTTGCTTTTTAAATTAATTGTAAGAGGAAAAATATTTATGTGCTACAAAACCATGGGACGAATTGAAGACAGTTTTAATGTCACAAATCTTACTCTGATAAAGCATTGGTCCTTGAGTACTTCAAGCAGCTCATCTGGTGTCTTCATTTTAACTCGTTTCTCAGTTTCCACAATCACGCTGCTTATATTATGCTGAAGGACTTGCTTCCCACTCTTGGCTTCCTCCACCTTAGGCAAGTAACATATAAAATTTTGTCCATTGTCATTTGGCATAACCACGGACTCTTGACCATCCTCCTGCAATATTTGTACCCAATTGTTAGATCAACATGGTTTGTGGAGGATCAATGTTTATATGTACTTCTTTATTCTAAAGAAAAAAAACTTTTTTTTTTTTTTTATCCTTTTTGGGGTCGGGGAAGTTTCAAAGCATCAAAATATAGCAACTACATACATATAGGAACAAACAATAAATACAAGTAAAACTAAATAAATAAAAATACAATCTTAGCTTACAGGATGAAAAGGTGAGTCTTCAGGATGGAATTCAATCTTGTATTTTGGTTCACGAGAGCTGCGACTAAATGTGCCACCTGCTCATCAATAGATGGAGAAAAAAAAAAGAAATTTATTTTGCAGTAAAAGATATCAAATTTAACAAACAAATCAGATAAATAAAATAGTTTCTAATTATACCTAAAAACAAAGCTAGAACAAGATGATTATCCTCATGTAAAGATCGTGATTGCATTACAAAAGGTCCTAAAATCACAGACACAGATTCCTACTCACGCTACAATCAACAGTCAGTTTCAACGCTGACATTCTGAATCACTTCAGCATATGTAAGAACAATCCTTTTGGCAACTCAAACTTTTTTCCTTGATACTTTGTTTGCCAATAAAATGCCTTCCACAAACTACCCGTTTTCAACCCGATTCCAGTCTCTACTAATTGATGACAACAAAGTTTGGCCCTTCAGACTAAAGGCTAAACAAGCTTACGACCCCTACAACTGCTTTCAAACTAAACTAAGCTAGAAGCTGTAACTTAAATGACAAAGGCTTTTTACGTACAAATTTAAATAATTAAGCTTAACTTAAAGCAATTCAATGTTGTTTAATTTGAAGTATTGCCAAGCCAGTAGAAATCTCTATGCAGTCCTATAGCAATACAAATTGATCATCCTGTTAATAATCACAGCTGAGCTGAAAATTCGTCAAATTTACGTTATCCCAAAAACCTATATATGAACCATTAAGCCTCTGATCAAGGCTCAAGTGCAAACAACTTTCAAATTCCACCAATGTTTTCAAGCTCAGCATCTGATTAACAACGATTGATGTAACACTAAAAAACCAAATACACACACGCTTATATACGTACATGTAGTTGATAAACTTACTAAAAAATTATGGGCTTCCGCCCCCTTGATACCCAATAAAAAACACTATTTAAATTGGGTAAGCAAGACATGATTTTGTATCAAAGAAGGAAGGGTGTCACTAAAACGAAGATGGGTTTTAGATAATTTCAGCAATGAAAAAAAAAGAAATTATGCAAATATGAGAGGGAAATAGATGGATTTGAGAAGTGGGTAATTACCTAGGTGAGCTGGGAAGATCTGATCGGCCAAGACAAGGTGGCACAGAACGTACAGTTGAGTAATAAACACTACCAACTTCATATTTTTGTTCCTTTTGAGAAAAAAACAAGGGTCTCAAAACCCAAAGAGAAGTTAGAGAAGGGGAGGTATTAAACCTTGGCTATTGCTACGTCAATGAAGAAGACGAAGAACACAAAGAAGAAGAAGAAGAATAAGTGATGCAGCCAAACTGTTGTGGTTGTTTTAACACCTCCACGGAGACTAGCCAATAAATGGACGCCGCGTAACGTGCTCACTTGTAATTTTGACACAGTGGACGGTACGGTTCTTGTCGCATGACTGAGTTGACGTGGCAGTTGTAGGGCTGCAAAGCCCAACCCCTTCTTTTAGAAGGTTGGATTGGGTTGGGCTTTAGCATTTATCCAAATTCAAGTTGGTTGGTTAGGCTCGGTGATTGTCAACAACTTTTACACGATATGGATTGATCATAATAAAATGATTTTCAATAACTTTTACATGATAATTTGTAGTAATAAACTTATTTTTGTAGTTCGTAATAACTAAATATTAACGACCATAAGAATTATAGGTACAAAAGCCTTCAAAAATACACTATGATGTAAAGAAAAACTTGTGTTGATATCAATCGTTTAAATACGCAAGATATTAGAGGAAACTAAAAAATATCATAGTCAATATAAAGGTTTTCAAACAAAAGAAGCAATGTATTACAACTATTAATACGGGTTAATGTCTACCCGAAGCTCTATTGAACTTGAGGACAACAAGATTGTCTAGGAGATCCTCAGTTCTATCTACATTCAAATAAGTAGACACAAACACAAACGCTAGATTTCATAATAAACAAATGCTTTTTTGTATTCAAATCACCTACATGTAGTCTGGTAAGCATATTTTCTTATCATCAATTGTTAAATTGTGAGGGAAAAAAATATGAACACTAACGTATTTATGTCTCAAATAATGTGATACATTAGAGCAACTCCACCCATATTGCCCTTAGCCATGGCAAGGGGGGAGCTAGGGGAGGCCCCCTTCACGCGGACAAGGGGGGGCCCTCGGCAAACACA